AGTGAACCTCAGAGCCTTTGGGCATCATTGCTGCTGCTGCTAAGTCACTTCAGTCATGTCCGACTCTGTGCGACCCCATAGACGGCAGCCCACCAGGCTCCCCCGTCCCTGGGATTCTCCAGGCAAGAACACTGGAGTGGGTTGCCATTTCCTTCTCCAGTATGTGAAAGTGAAAAGTGAAAGTGAAGTCGCTCAGTTGTGTCCGACTCTTAGCGACCCCATGGACCGCAGCCTACCAGGCTCCTCCATCCATGGGATTTTCCAGGCAAGAGTACTGGAGTGGGGTGCCATTGGTCTTCTCCATTGGGCATCATTAAATCTTAGAAAACTGTATTAACCTTTCATGAGAGGAGATGCCAAGGTTGGAGAACTTTCTTATCCATGACCAGCTCCCACTTAATCTACAATACTACAGAAAAAAATCCACATCTTAAATGATTTTAAATCTCATCAGAAATGGTTTGTTGTGTTAATGTCAATCATTCATGGTAATATCAAGAATTATCATTCAAAAATGAAATGGAATTCATTTTAAGTGTATTCAGAAATGGAAGTCTAATACACAGTTAAGAATGAAAATCCAGGCCACTGAGGAACAGTGAGGATAATTTCTAAATATGTTAAGTAATGAAAGGAAAAAGTAAAAGCAGTTCCTTAGACCAAAGACCTATATCCCAGGTTTGCTCAAGGCTGGTCTTAAAGAGACTGACGTCCACAGGAGAGGAGCAGAAGTGAATTATCTAAAAGTCCCCAAATTCTCTGCAATGTCATGATTGGCTGATTAGTCTCCACCAACTACATATCTGGTTTCCACAAACAATGTGCATTCTGAGATGCCAGAATCATCCTGCTAAAAATACACAACTCAGGAAACCATACTCGTGGACCCAAAATGTCTTGTGCTTTTTTTTTTTTTTTTTTTGCACTAGACCAGAGATTAGGAGAGGGAAGAGATGGCCTGTCAGCTGTCAGAACTGTGCTGTGAAGGCTATTTGCAAACTAACATTCAGCCTGTCATACATAGTTTTATAGATGCTGGAAGAAGACGTGACATGCCTGCATCAGAGACAACTGACTCTCTTTCTCCTAGCACTAAGGTTGCCAGAAGATCAGTATAGAAGGTCAGGTGACACCTGGACATATGTAATAAGCTTTATAGGAGAGGGACCCTGAGTTTAGGGAACCTGAATCTTTTATACTGGGCAGTAAGCATGCCTGCTCTTTGCTCTGAAGGGAGACAGTATCTCCATTTTTAAGGCTGTTCACTGAACAAACAGTCTGGATATAATAGAATGGAACAAAGTTTGGTATTTCTTCTGCTCACAAGACAGAGAAATCCCTGACACTCACAGAACATGCTTTAGTGCTTGGCATCCTGTGGGTTGACAGCTGAAATAACTGTGGATCTGCAAAAGCCCTTTCTGATTCAGGATGGGTCAATCTGAACAAACCATTATTGCACATTCCCAAGAACATTTTCCTGAGCTTGTCAATTGTCAAACCACTTGCGGGTATTCATCTTCTCTTTTTAAAGGTCAGCAGAAATTTCTAAAACTATTGTCTTTCCCCATTTCCCAAAGACATTGAAGGATTCGTATTGTAGAAGGCTTCTGAAAAGTCGCAATGAGTAAGCCAAGGCACCACAACTAGAGAATCTGTGCACCACAACAAAAATCCTTTGTGTCACAACTAAGACCCCAATACAGCCAAATGAATAAATAATATTTTAAGTCTAAATAAAAAGTAGTTAATATCCTGCCATTCTAGTACATAAGGATTTCATTTACCATGAACAGAGCATTATATAATGATAAATATTTAATGTTTAAGGAATTAACATTTTCACACAATTTTTACTTCCTAGTTAAGCCACTTCAAGATACATAGTATTTGTTCATGTATCTCTCTGTATATTCCTCTTATAGCTATGAGGGAAATGATAGCATTGCCATCAGCTTGATATTCCCAGGGAGCAACATGGTGTCTAGTAGGTGCACAGAGCAGGTAGTCAAGACAATTAATGAGTTAATCAGTTAAACATTGGGAGGATTTGCACTGATCCAAGGGCATGTCCATCATGCTGATATCAAGCTAAATGGACTTTCTGTCAGGTATACCTCTGTAATAAAAGTGGAGAAGAGAAAAGAATCTGGACTGTTAAAGGGCTCTAATTTATAGATTCTTTGCTAGGAAGGATATATGGTACAATCAAAAGAGCAGAAGAGAAGATATGTATTCAAGAACTGGCTCTGCCACTGTCCATCTGGGAGTGTCTTTGAGCAAGGCACACACAGTCTATGGAGTCAGTTTCCTCACCAGTTAAAGGAGAGGTACGTGGGACTTTCCCAGTGGTCCAGTGGCTAAGACTATGCTTCCTCTGCAGGGTATGCAGGTTCAAACCCTGATCAGGGAAGTTCAACAACAAAAACAGAAGAGGTACACTTATGAGTTTTGCAAGAGTGGTGAGTTTTGCAGAAACAGTGAGTCCAGCTCTAGCCCCCCATTCTTACAACACCATAGGTGCTCCTTTTGGGTTTTATAGATTCCATTTGTGCAATAAGGTGCTAGATTAGAATTTTGTAAAGCTTAAGACCACATGATCAAAAATATTTTTCCAACTTTACTAGTTATATATATTAAACTGGATGAGAAAAAAAGAAGCTGCCAGTTTCTATAATCAGAGCCAAAAATTAAACTATTACTTTTATAGTACTTATTTTTGGCAGATTTTCTAAGACAAATTCTCAAGACTTTCATAATTTTTAAACTCACATACTTAGTGTATATTTAATCCATGTCTTAAATTCACTTACCTAGAATTCATCACAAAGCTTCTATCCTGAGGACTAATGCCACATCTAAAGGGACTTCTTAGTCTATTTAACAAATTTTTTTTTTTTTCAGAATAAAGCCTGAGTTTCGAAGCGTGATAATTTAATTTAGTGACTAAGCTGCTAATTAACCTCACTTATGAAGTTTTTACTAATTGAAAACATTATCCTTCTGTTTCTCATTTATTGGCCCTTATCATGAGCTAACAAGGCTTATGAGCAAGATCACTGGAGCACTGAGAAGCATTTTTTCCAAAACTGAATTTCTCCTGGTCCCTGATTTTTTAGTATTTTGATTGGGGAAAATAAATCTTTCATTTTCCTTCATAACATTTAAAATTAAAGTAAATATAATAGTATTTAACATTTGGGGAGCACTTACTATACGCATCAACACTATTACAAACACTTTAAATAAACAATACTTCATTGAATTCTCACAATCTACCCCAAAGGTAGGTTTTGCTACACTCTGCATTTTCCAAAGGAGCAGCTGAGACATAAACTCTCACATTTAGTGAGGAGAAGAACCAGCCCTGCCCAAACCCTGCCTCCTGAGCCCAAGTCTGGAACCACACAGCTGCATGTTAGCATCCACTGCAGGACATTAACAGCCTGGGGATGAAAGAAACCAAGACGCTGAAGATTACTAAAACAACATCCATAAGTCAGAATCCACATTACTCTTTTCCATTTATGTTTATCTTTCTCAGAATACATTTTCCCACAGTAAATTAAATAAGATAGGATGAAGTAATGAGAAAAACAAAACAAAACAATGGAGATGGAGCTAAAGTCAGTAAACCTGCCCTTAACATCAGTTCTGTCGCTAACTGGTGTATGTGGCTTTGCACAAGTCTTTAAATATCTGTTCCAAGCCTTAAGAGAAAAGAACAACAACAAATATAACAACTTTACATACAATTCATGAGACTTTTAGGGAATCATATCAATAGTATTGTTAATCACCAAAACATGTGTGAAAATTACTATTAAAGGAATAACTGTAAATAATAGGCATGCTTTATTATATGATCCTAAACTAGCTTTAAAAAAACCTATTCTAAGACAGTGCTGTGATGAACATTGGGGTGCACGTGTCTCTTTCAGATCTGGTTTCCTCGGTGTGTATGCCCAGAAGTGGGATTGCTGGGTCATATGGCAGTTCTATTTCCAGCTTTTTAAGAAATCTCCACACTGTTTTCCATAGTGGCTGTACTATCATGGAAGCAACCTAGATGCCCATCAGCAGACCAATGGATGAGGAAGCTGTGGTACATATACACCATGGAATATTACTCAGCCATTAAAAAGAATTCATTTGAATCAGTTCTAATGAGATGGATGAAACTGGAGCCCATTATACAGAGCAAAGTAAACCAGAAAGATAAAGACCATTACAGTATACTAACACATATATATGGAATTTAGAAAGATGGTAACGATAACCCTATATGCAAAACAGAAAAAGAGACTCCGATGTATAGAACAGATTTGTGGACTCTGAGAGAAGGCGAGGGTGGGATGTTTCAAGAGAACAGCATCGAAACACGTATATTATCTAGGGTGAAACAGATCACCAGCCCAGGTTGGGTGCATGAGACAAGTGCTCGGGCCTGGTGCACTGGGAAGACCCAGAGGGATCGGGTGGAGAGGGAGGTGGGAGCGGGGAGCGGGATGGGGAATACATGTAAATCCATGGCTAATTCATTTCAATGTATGACAAAAACCACTGCAATGATGTAAAGTAATTAGCCTCCAACTAATAAAAATAAATGAAAAAAAAAAAAAACTATTCTAAGACAGTTTAAAAATGGCTTCCTTTGTTTCATGGAACTTTTCCTAAAGATAACACTGAACTTGTCACTACTTCCTGTATGACTCTTCTTCATTACTCTGCAACTTCCAGAAGATGAACCACATTAAATAAACTCTAGAGAGGCCAGTACTTAGCAAACACTATTTAAGTTGATACATCTTATAGGATAGATGCTTTGCCCTTTATTTTTCAGAAAAAAAAGAAGCTGAAATTAAAAGCACATCTTTTTTATCTATTTATGTTGAGTAAAATCTAGTCTACAAGTGTAAATACTAAACAGTAAGATTTGGTCAATATGTGATCTTATGCTAGGCTTTCCACTGGCATTGTTCCTTTCTTCCATACCTTACCTTTTTCATAGTAGGAAGTCAGGCTCTAGCAGTCACTTCATCCTGCTACCTGAAATGAAAGGTCATGGTGTTATTTTTAGGAAAAGCTGAAAACTCCTATTCTTAAATTTGCTAGCTGTATGCCCAAAGTTGAAATTACTTTTCCCTCCTATTCAGGATTTGCCCATATAAAAATATCTGCTAACACCTATATATGTAGAAATTTATAACCATTTAGGGTAGCTGTGCTTTAAATAAGTCAACCCAGTAAAATGTGTAAGTTAGTTTTTCAACTCCCTTCTTTGGGATTAGGGAGTGGAGGTAGGAATTTGATCTTTGCATTTGTTTTTCAATTTTTGGCTAATCATATGCATCAACAATTATTCCACAAATTATATGGGTATAAAATTTTTAAAATTACCAATTTTCAGTTGGGTTTACTTTTGATTTAATGTCCTAGGTCTTTTTTAAACTTAATTTTTCCTTTTGAACATTTTATTTTGTTTTGGGGTATCAGAGGATGAGATGGTTGGATAGCATCACTGACTCGTGGATATGAACTTGGGCAAACTCCAGCAGATAGTGAGGGACAGGGAGGCCTGACATGCTGCAGTCTGTGGGGTCGCAAAGAGTCGGACACGACTTAGTGACTGAACAACAACAACAAATAATCAATTAACAATGTTGTGATAGCTTCAGGTGAACAACAAAAGAACTCAGCCATACATATACATGTATCCATTCTCCCCAACAGCCCCCTCCAACCAGGCTGCCACATAACATTCAGCAGAGTTCCATGTTCTATACTATACAGTCCTTGTTGGTTATCCGTTTTGAATACAGCAGTGTGTAAATACACTCACGAAACACTGACTCTATATTGTTTTACCACTCACCTTCTAAGTCAATTGTTTCTCTTGATTGAGTGATAATAACAATCACCACCTTCATAGCCTTCAGGCTCTAACTGGTAATGCTCTCAATGAAAATGACTTCACTACTTTCATCCATATGTAAACACACCACGTAAGAGACAAATTCTTGGACTTCCCTGGTGGAGCAGTGGATAGAAGTCCTCCTGCCAATGCAGGGGACAGAGCTTCGATCCCTGGTCTGGGAAGATTCCACATGCCGCAGAGCAACTAGTGGGCCACAACTGCTGAGCCTGCGCTCTAGAGTCTGCAAGCTGCAACCCCTGAGCCAGAGTGCCTACAGCCAGTGCTCCCCAACAAGAGGAGCCACCACGATGAGAGGCCTGTGAACCACAGTGAAGAGCAGCCACCTCTCGCTGCAGCAAGAGAAAGCCTGTGAGCAGCAGTGAAGACCCAGCACAGCCAAAAATAAAAGGCCAAAAGATTTGTTAGAAATAATTCAAAAGGAAATAAAGGACATTTGGAATTAAAAAAGAGACAAAATCTTGACCCAAATAATGCCAAGAATTTAACAGTAGGATGTGGCTTTGAGTTTATGCATAATTCCTGAAATTGTCACTCCTGATACTTTGGAGTGAAGGGAAAAGAAAGCTGATAAGGTTGGCGTATTGGGTCTGTAATGTCCTGCTTTAATATCCAGCTGTTTTCCATCCTATGTGACTATTTGTGAGAATTCCAGGAGTTATATAGAATGGGAAATTGTTCCACAGATTAATTATTGAAAAGGAATGCTCTATCCTCATGCCTTTGGGGATGCCAGTTGACTGCAGGTGGGTCCAAACAAGATAAATTCAGTTCAAGTCAACTCATACTTACTAATATGCAAAGTAACCTGTGAAGGGTATGGAGAAAATTAAAACAAGCATAACCTGGGCCTAAGGCATCTCTAGAAAAAATAATACATTTCAGCAAATCTCATGAGACAAAAATCCACTTGTGCTAAGCCTTCCCCCTCATTTTGCATTTGTTTCAACTTCTCTTCCAAATAGTGTTCTAAAGATGAAATGACATCATTGCCTTTACCCAATCCAAGACTTTTGAGTTGTCTCGAACCTCCAAACACATAAAGGCACATGGCTGATTATAAAGTAAACTTTACCTTAAATATAGATTCTATTTTTTCTCAAAAATGTCTGGTGGTGACTGAAAGCTCACAATCAAATATAAATGTATAAAAGCCTTAAAAAAAAAAAAAAAAGCTCACAATCAAATAAATAAGGACATACTAGTGGATTCCTGGAGAAGGCAATGGCACCCCACTCCAGTACTCTTGCCTGGAAAATCCCATGGACAGAGGAGCCTGGTAGGCTGCGGTCCATGGGGTCGCTAAGAGTCGGACACAACTGAGCAACTTCACTTTCACTTTTCACTTTCACACACTGGAGAAGGAAATGGCAACCCACTCCAGTGTTCTTGCCTGGAGAATCCCAGGGACGGGGGAACCTGGTGGGCTGCCGTCTATGGGGTCGCACAGAGTCGGACATGACTGAGTGACTTAGCAGCAGCAGCAGCAGCAGCAGCAGCAGCAGCAGTGGATTCCATTTTATTTGTTACAAACAACATTGCTAAGTTTTTGAAAAATATTTTAAATCTCATCAGTCTCTACTTCCAATCTAAAGATAACAATTGTTACTTATTTGATTTGAGACTGTCAAAAAGAAATTGTGAGTGTTATTTAATTTGGTTATTTAAAGAGACAGTCATTATTTATTTAAACATTGAATAAATATCACCCTTTCATTAACAGTTAAGGGCTCCCCTAGTAGCTCAGTTGGTAAAGAATCTGCCTGCAATGCAGGAGATCCGGGTTCTATCCCTGGGTTGGGAAGATCTCCTGGAGAAGGAAATGGTAACCCAACTCCAATTCAGCCTGAAATGCTAAACAAAGTGACAAGAGAGTTAAGAGTTGAAGGATCAATAAGAGTCGGATAGCCTGTTTAGTTGCTAAGTCATGTCCAACTCTTTGCAACCCCATGGACTGTAACCAGCCAGCCTCCTCTGTCCATGGAATTTTTCAGACAAGAATACTGGAGTGTGTTGCCATTTACTTGTCCAAGTGATCTTCCCAACCCAGGGATCAAACCCACATCTCCTGCATTGGCAGGCAGATTCCTTACCACTGATCCACCAGGAAAGGCATAAAATCACCATCAGACTAATAGTCCTTAGTACAGTTTCTGTGAATGTACTCATGACTGAATGGCTGAATGAATGAAAGAATGCATGAGACAGTTTGACCAAGCAATATTGGCTTCAGTCATGCTTGTTTCTCAACAATATAAACATTTTCAGTACTTTATAGTTAGTCCACTGCATGTAAAACAACATATAGGAATCATAGAGAATGACAAAAAAAGAAGAAATATAGTCTCTGCTCTCAAGAAAGATGCATTAATTCAAATGTTTATTGTGCTTTATGTTTTTTCATATTCCTGGTGCTTTACAGGCTGTAGACAGAAAAAATAATAGATACTACTAAGGCCAGAGCTGCTTGCAATGCAGGAGACCTGGGTTTGATCCCTGGGTTGGGAAGATCCCCTGGAGAAGGGAATGGCAACCCACTTCAGTATTCTTGCCTGGAGAATCCCATGGACAGAGGAGCCTGGTGGGCTACAGTCTGCGGGGTCGCAAAGAGTCGGACACGACTGAGCAACTAACACTACTACTAAGGCCAGAGGAGAAACAGAAGCATGACAATAATGTCAGCATTACTAACTCTGACTTTTGAGACTCTCTTAATCATTCCTTATAAATCTTCAATGTATTCTTAACATTCTCTAAGCTCTGAAAATTATTATAAAGCTATATATATATACACACACACACACTGGCTCAAGACAGTAAAGTGTCTGACTGCAATGCAGAAGACTTGGGTTTGATCTCTGGGTTGGGAAGACCCTCTGAAGAAGGGAATGGCAGCCCACTCCAGTATTCTTGCCTGGAGAATTCCATGAACAGAGGAGCCTGATGGGCTACAGTCCATGGCATTGCCATATGTGTTCTAAAGACTAGAGGGCTAAAGGACTAAAACTAAAACTGAAGTATTTAACATCAGAGTAAAAGAAAGACATTAGGATTGCAGTTCCTACACTGTAGTTCCTTCCTTAATACTTCCATTTCATTCCTGTGAGTTCAGGTCCAAACAGCCCACCTATTCTCTTCCATATACGTCACAACATTCAGAGTCAACTGATTTCACCATTCCTAAGGTCTGGAAAGCCCTTGCTGTTTCTCTTGTCCTCATCTTTTAACCCAGCTTGTAGCCATTAAAAAGTCACGTGGGGTTTTCCACATTGGTTACTTCTTCTTCTTCACTTACAGAACACTTAAGGCTATATCCGCTCATGACCACTCAGGGCTCAGTACCAACCGAGTGACACTGAGAAAAAGCTCTCAAGCCTCAGAGCATGCGGATCTATCATAATCTATACCTCAGAGTTCTTCAAAAGTTCTAATAAACTTTGGGGTCATAAAGTATTACATCACACCAATCCTCCAGAATTTTCAGTGTCATGTGGTTCCCATGTCAGAAAACTGAGTATCATTGGTTTAACACTTATAACCTGCTTCTGCAAATAGATCATAACCTCTTCATAAGCAAAAACTAGGTATCTTTTAATACCCCACTGTGTTTGAAACAGAAGGATATCAAATGCTCAAAATATTTGTGAATTACTTATTTCATTGGAAGGGAAACAATAACAAATGTCTATTTGTTTAATTGAGAGCATCTGAATAAATTTACTAGCCTGCAAGAATCTTCCACTAAGTTCTTCTTATGCCTAAGGTTAGGCAATTTTGACAACTGCATTAATTGTTAACAATACATCAACCAGCAACTTTTCTTATATTCCTGATATCCAATTTTCTAAAGAATTCTTTACTTCAATAAATTATGGCTTGAATGAAATAAACATTGTATTCCCCAATGTCCTGAAAACCATAAGTTTACCAGATATGAATACATAAGCCTCAGATACTTTATTTATATGATCAATAAATGAGTTGATAGAAATAAGCTATATAAATATAAATCACCATAGTTCCTAATACCTTAGTAAATTTGCAGTTTTAGCTAAACACAGAATATTTATAGAA